CTGCTGGAGCTCTGAATCGAGATAGCACGTCGACACTAAGGAAGCCTGCCTAGGACTAATTTTGAGGCTTCCTTGCCATGTACACATGCTATTTTGCAATAAGCAATTTCAGAATAATAACTATTCTTTATTCTGAAATAACTGCAGTGTAGACTAGCCTTGATGAAGTGAGTTTTGCACACAAAAGCAAATACATGGATGCCTAATGTCTACTACCAGGTGATTTCAAAATAGGTTATTTCCCATAGTAACGCCCCAAATAATAACTACATAAAAAACTATTTTGAAATAGCTTGTTTCATACTTTGGCGCTGTCTACGCAGCACCAGCTTTGGACATAACCTGCTATTCCGAAACATCCCTTGCTCCTTGTGGAATGTGGTTTACAGGGATGTCGGAATAACGTGCCCAAAATAACGGGCTTGCTGTGAAGACCCGAGAGAGCTATTCTGGATGCTCCGGTATCCCAAAGCAGTGTCGCAGTGTAGAGGTAGGCCCAGTGACTAGAGCTATTGCGGATGCTCCGGTATCCCGAAGGAGTGTCGCAGTGTAGAGGTAGGCCCAGTGACTAGTTGCCCATGCGCCCCATTTCCTGGGCCTAAAATCTCTGCCAGGTTCCCTCCCTCTCCCCCCGCATGACTTACTTGAAGAAGTCCTCTTTGCAGTACACGCTGTCACCTCGGCTGAAGCATTTCTCAGCCAGCTGGGTCTGGCAATCGCTGCATTTCAGGCATTTGCTGTGCCAGTGCCGGTCCAGCACCTTCAGGATGAACCTGTCCACGATGTGCTGGTTGCAGCCTGCGCAGAGGGGGATTTCTGGTGGGGGAGCAAAGACATCACAGGGCGGGTTAATGGCTCCGTCCCACAGCCCCGAGCCCGTGGGGTGGGAACCGGATTGGCTCAAACCTGCCTGGACCATCGGCCCATCTATTAAGCTCCATCACCTCACCCAGCTGGCCTGGGTAGTGTCCTGGGGCCTGTCCCGGGCCGTTCCCACACGGAAACTCCGCATCCCCATCGCCTGTGGCTAACAAAAGCGCCCCACGAGGGACAGGAAAGTCCCGCACCTTAGGCCACGTGATATGCCACCCTCCTTTTTTTTAATTACAAATGCCTTGAGCACTCGTGGGAGTGGGAGCGTTTGGGATTTATTATTGCTGATGCGGAGTGGCTGAAAAGTGCCTTTTTAAAGAATAAACACCAGAGGCTTGAGGGGAAAAAAGGCCTCCGGGGAGCTGCGATTCCTTCGGGTTTGGGTTTCCTATGTCTTGGGGCGGGGGAGAGAGAGAAGCAAAAGCACATTTAGGTTGCTGATTTGGAGGTTGTAAATCTGCCTTCTTTTTAATGGCAGTAACAGGACCTGTTGGAACCCTCCCCCTCAGCAGTCATCACTTGCATGTAAATGGATTGTTAGCGCCCTGATCCTGTGAGCTGTTCACATGGGCACTGCCTACCTGGGACGATATGCAGGACTAACACTTAAAATGGCAAATAAGATCCCTTATGTCAGTGTTTCTCAACTTTTTTTTTTATAAAGTACCCCTTTAAAAAAATTATAAGTACACATACACACTGCTACACACACACACACAC